CCCCCTACTTACCTGCCCGTACCCTCCGTTCCTCTGGCTCCGGTCTGCTCCACATCCCCCGCCCCAACTGCCCTAACATCGGTGGCCGGGCCTTCAGCCTCTCAGCCTTGAGGCTCTGGAACTCTATCCCCAGTGCCTTCGCCGCCTCCTCCCTTTCCTCCTTCAAGGCCGGTCTCAAGACCTTTCTCTTTGACCGTGCCTTTAGCTCCCCTCTCGACTCTCTACCCCCTCCTCGCTCCCTCCCTTCCCTCCCCTCACCCTGACCATTTCCCCCCAATGCTCGGCTCCTGACCCAACTGTACAGCGCCTTGGGACGTCCTCCCGACGTGAAAGGCGCTCTATAAATGGAATCTTGTTGTTGTTGTTGTACTCCTTCCACCAAACCCCCCCCTTCCAAACCAAATGGCCCTCATCTCCAAAGCCTCCCTTGGTCTTTCGCCCTGCTCCTCTGGCTGCTTCCCCTCTTTTGAGCAACTCACCTTCTTCCATCCCTCTCTCCTACTGAAAATCCTCCAAATTTTCTGCCCTCCTAAGCCCCCTGGCTCCTTCTTCTCTGACATTTCTATTCTCTCTTCCCTGTCCCTCTGCTCCAAAAGCCTGTTCATAACAGGCGATTTCAACCTCCACCTAAATTCCCCTTGCACCACTTCTTCTGACTTCACTGCCCTCTTCTCCTCAGTAAACCTCACCCTTCACAAAAATTCACCGACTCACGACCGCAGCCATGTCCTCGACCTCGTCATCACCCACGGCCTTGACATTTCCGACCACAGCATAGTGGACAAGGCCATCGCGGACCACTTCCTCATCTCCTTCTCCTCTCACATCCCTCTCTCCTCCACCAAGCCCTCAATCATAGCGCCCTTGGAAAAAGTTACCCCGGAGATGCTCACAAAGGCTTTCACATCCTCAAATATCCTATCCCTCTGGCCTTCCACCCGCAGAAATGCTGAAGCTGCTGTCCAGCTGCTCCATGATCACCTCTCCTCCAACGTCAACTCTCTCAACCCCCTGAAATCCAGGACCATCTCCAAACCCCCCGATCCCCCTGGTATAACAATCATCTCCGCTCCCTGAAAACCCAAACCCGGCTGCTCGAGTGCAGATGGCAGAAAACTGGCCTGACAGCATCTCCACAGCTACTGCCATTCTTTGACACGTACGAAAATGGCCTTCTACTCCAACATCATCTTGGAGGCAAAAAACGAACCCAAAGTCCTTTTTTTCCCCCACCACCTACTACTTCCTCCGTGCGCCTCCTTAGGCCTTCTCAACCTTTACATCTAATGCCAAGGGCGAGGAGGTCATGGACTTCTTTTCATCCAAAATACAATACATCCGCCAGGCAGCCTCATCCTTCTGCCTCTTGTCACCCACCACCTCTCTGTCCCCCTCACCCTCTCCATCATCAGTTCCTACCACGACCCCCATCCTACATTCCTTCCTCCCCATCTCTCCTTCCTCCTTCTCACCCACCATCACTTCAATGAAACCCACCACCTGCTGCCTCGATCCCCTCCCCATCAACATGTTGGTCACCCAGCTCCCCCTCCTCTGCCCACTACTGGCTGATGTCATCAATCCCTCTCCTCTGGATCAGTCGCTGCCCCCCTCAAAATTGCTGTCATCACCCCCCGCCTCAAAAAACCTTCCCTAGATCCCTCAAACCCTAGCCACTACCGCCCCATTTCAAACCTGCCCTTCCTCGCCAAAGTCCTAGAACACGTTGTTGCAAATCAACTCCGCGACACCTCTCCTCCCACTCCCTCTTCGAACCCCTCCAGTCCGGTTTCCGCCCACAGTACAGTACACTTGTGAAAGTCACAAACGACATCCTCTCTATCTGTGACCAGGGCTCCCTCTGCCTCCTTGTCCTCTCCGCTGCGTTCGACACAGTCGATCACGCCATCCTCCTCCACCGCCTTTCCTCCATCATCCACCTTAGTGGAACCGCACTCGCCTGGTTCGAGTCCTACTTCATGAACCGCCAGCAGTACATCTGCACAAACGGCTTCTCCTCCCGCTCTCACCTGGTCACCTGCGGGTACCCCAAGGATCCACCCTTGGCCCCCTCCTCTTTCTGATCTATATGTCATCCGCAGACAAGGGGTACACTTCCACATGTATGCGGACGACACCCAACTCTATTTTTCCACGTCACTTTGCGACCCCCAGGTCCCTGATGTTCTGTCAGCCTGCCTGGATGAGCGTGAATTTCCTTCAGCTAAATGTTGACCAGATGGAAGCCACTCTTTGGCTCTCGTCAACGTCTAAAATCACATGGTTCTCACCTCCTCCACTTAACCGACATTCACCTAAAACTCTCCAAACTCATACACAAACTAGGCGTCAGGTTCAACCTCCAATTATCCTTCCTCCCCCACATCCTGTCCCTCACCAGCACCGTCTTCTTCCACCTCCGACGGATCACCCGTCTTTGCCAATACCTCACTCCAAAAGCCGCTGAAATCTTGGTCCATTCCTTTGCCACCTCTCGGCTGGACAATTCAAATGCCCTCCTCACCGGTCTCCCCTCCACTGCCATTCATAAAATCCAGGTCATCCAAAACTCTGCCGCAAACATTCTTACCCGCAGCAAACTCCGCTCCCCGATTACCCCAGTCCTTGCCAGACTGCACTGGCTGCCTGTCCTAGAGAGGATCGATTTCAAGAACCTTACTCATGTCTTCAAATTCTTCCGCTTCTCTGCAGCCCCCGACCTCTCTGACCTCCTCTCTCTTCACAACAGTCCCCGTTGCCTTCGCTCCACCGGGTCTGGCCTCCTCCTTACCCCCCGAGTCCTCCCCTCCCCCCTCGCGGCCGTGCCTTCAGCCACTATGCCCCGAGGTTCTGGAACTGCCTTCCTTCACTCCCTTTGTCTCGTCCCCTCTCTTCCTATTCTCAGGTCTCCGCTGAAGACCTTTCTTTTCGACCGCACCTTTGGTCACCTTTTCCCCCTCCCCCTGGCTCGCCCCCGGGATCCATTACTGTAAAGCTGTAAAGCGCTCTGAGACGCCGTCCGGTGTGGAGGGCGCTATATAAATCCAAGTTGTTGTTGTGTTGTGGCACCTTGTCGAATGCCTTCTGAAAATCTAAATACACGGCATCTACTGGCTCCCCCCTATCTAATCTGCTAGGTACATCCTCAAAAAAAACTTTAAAAGATTTGTTAAGCATGACTTCCCTTTTGTAAAGCCATGTTGACTCTGCCTAATCATGTTATGGTCTACTAAGTACCTCAGATATGACGATAAATACAGATATGATGAGTGATGAATGGCCGGCTCCTGTGCTTTACATTTCTATGGTTCTAAATAAAAATGGAAGTTGGATTGCAGCACAATCCTCCATCAATGCAGTAAAGCTAACAGAAAGGAGCGTGAACCACGCAAAACAGCAAGCAATCGACAATCTCTTCCTTTAAGACTCAAAAAGTAAAAACAGCAAGTAATTCCTAATGGAGACATAACATTTTTGGAAAGTTCAGTTCAGCACAATGGTGGGTTTTACCACTTAGGGAAAACAGGACATAACTAATGTTGAGAAAGAAGACTGCTTGTCACAATAGTCATAAAGTATAATAATAATAATCCTTGCATTTGATATAGCGCTTTTCACATCTTCTAGATGTCTCAAAGCGCTTCAAAGTATACTGTAAAGTGTATATTTGTGGGCCAAATGCGGCAGCCAATTGCGCACAGCAGTGTCCCACAAACAGTCGTTGATTGAAACGACCAAATTATTATTGTTTTTTTCTTGAGGGATTATTATCAGGCGTGTGGAGTAAGAAAACTTGGCCAAGGTTTCATTCTGCCAGGAATCGAACCTGGGTCTCTCACTTGTGAGGCGAGTGCTCTAACTACTGAGCTACAGGACAATTGTACAGAATAAGTAGTATACAGAACATCGCATCAGAAATGTTTCAGCACTTGATGCTCTTTTGTAAGAATTTCATAAATACAATTCAGTCCTTCAGGCTGATGCTGTGCAGTGTGGAGAGCTTCCATGATGCCCAGCACAGAAACGAGCCTGGATTATAGGCTGAGCAACAGAGTATCAACGGTTTTCAAAATTCAAGTAAAGAGAAATATATACAGAAGGATGAATCATTTAAAAAAAATGTCTTACTACATACAATTTTCTACAGCACTAGACAAATAGGTTGCAAACCTACAAGTACTGATAGAAACGAGATTTGACGACTTGATTACTGGATCATTTATGGGGATGGTCATCAGCTGCTGAACTGAAATTGCTTTTACTCTGGTGACCAATAATACTGACAATAATACTGGGCCTAACAGTGATACTGAGCTGAGCAATGCTGAAGGGGAAGGCCGACTGAGCTGAGAGCTGCCTGCCTCTTCTCCACATGATGCACAGACCTTTGGGTGTGCTCCCTTGCCTAAGTTAATATCCACAGATTTTGACTTGCGCGCCTTTTCTGGGTGCAAATCTGGTGTACTACTATGCAAGCCACTCTTGCACAAGTATAAAAGGTTTTTCTCCCTAAAGTAGTGTGAGAATGATAGTATATGAGTTCTTATTGAGACTGTGTTTATCAAAGGTGTTTGTACAGCCCATTGGAACATAAAGGCCGTTTGGGTTTGTAACATTTGCATTTGAGGTACACTACCAGCTTCCACAATGAGTTATTTTGAAGGGCAGAAAGCTAATATCAAATAGTGACTTGGGATTTTTAACGTCCACTTCAAGAGAAGGCAGATTTAGCAACTGGGTTAACATCTCAGCCGAAAATCAGAATCTTTGTTAATACAGCATTCTCCCAGTACTGCAGTGCAGTGTCAATTTGGCCATAAGCAGATGAGTCCCATGGCTTGAAACCACAAACATCTGACCCAGAGATGGGAATTCTACCAATCGGGTCAAACTGACATAATATCATGGATGGAATCAGTGACCCTGGCAAAATAGAACAAAGGAAAAAAAACAGGAGTGAGGGTAGGGGCAAGGGTAAACAAGATAAAGTCAATACTCACTCTTTCAACATCGAAGCCTTCTCATCTTTGATTTTGACTTCAGACTCGAACCGCTGCTTGAGAAACCAGGTGCAGATGCTAAAACCCACAATGGAAAAGGCAGCTAAGCCCACACAGAACAGTCTGAACCTGAAGAGATTTTCTTTGTTCCAAACCGCATACGACATGAAGACAGACAAGGAGCCAAACGCGCTGAAGAGGGAGCAGTAAAAATTCAGTCGAGTCCTGTCCTTTTCCGACACTGCCAAGTCTGCCAGTAAGGCATTGTGATTGAGATCAACCACAGTGAGGAATCCATCATATAAACAGAGGCAGATAAGGAACTGTATCCCTGGGCGAGCCCACACCACCCAGAAAGAAAGGAACGAGAGTGCAAATAAGGGTCCATTCCGCATTAGTGCCCTCAGCCGTTTCAGTACGACTTCTGGAGAAGAGATCGGAGCTCCTGATCTGCAGTGAAGACAAAATGCACAAAATATTTAGAAGTGGAATTCATATAGTAATGTAGGAACAGGAGGAGACCATTCAGCCCATCGAGCCTGTTCCATAATTTTATTAGATAATGTCAGATCTTTTCATCTAATTTCTCTGCCTTTTCTCTATATATCTTAATACCCTTACTTTACTGCTCCAAATATCTATCCATCCTCTTTTTAAACATCCCATTCTGCATTTAGTGTTATGCATGTCCAAGCAAAAACCAGTTAGCTCAAATCATTCTACCTTAAAAATGCACAAAATTACAGAACACAAGCCCAGGATTACTTACTTCTGTGAGCTCAGAAATGAGCGATCACTGAGCCAGCCAAACAATGGATCATTCAGACTGTTCCATACAAGGAAAACGGTCTGAAAAACAAAAATAGCAATTGAAATACAAACAGACCTCTCCCCACGTAAATCCCAAACAAATTCGGATTCTTTTTCCCTTCTGATAAACACACAACCCCCAAAACAAAAGAATGATTACTCCTAACTTTCCGCAGCTTCCCCCCCAGTTCAATTCAGGTGCATAGTCAGCTGTGTGAAGCGTTTCAGACATCCTCCTCTCCCCCTCACTTATAGAATCATCATTGAACCCCCCATATTTCAAATATTTCTGTTTCTCTTTTGAAAACTATTATGGATTTTGTCTTTAACTGGGGGTTGGGGGCGGGGGGGGGTGCGGAGGGCATAGAAAACCGGCTCAGATGTGCAACATGTTCTACCTTCACTGCTGTAATATGATCCTTTAAAAAGGAACAAAAGGGAGCACTGTGTGTTTGAGTAGCCCGCACAAAACACTACACCTTCTGATAAGAGATAATAAGCAATGTTATCAGACCACCAATGACTTTCCATTCATTTTCTACCATAAGCTGACTTTCTTAGGCATCTATTAGGAGTAGGCACAATTTCTCTTTCTCAGAAGAAGCAGTTTCTTTCTTAGTGCGACATATGGGATATTTGATGAATTCTTCAGTGAAGGAGTTGCACAACCAACACCCTATTATTTTGCATAAAAGTAAGAAAACTATATGGCCTGCAGCTGGATTTTACAGCACATTTTAGCTTACTACAATTCAATACAGCAAACTTTGAGTGGAAAGAGGCACGTAGCCTGGCAGGCATACAGACACTCAAACTTGAAATAATAAAATTATATGTACTCTCTGTTCTGTACTGGCTGACCTTAAAGGCCATGGATCAAAACGTGTTATCCAATCAGATAATCTTAACATTTATAACCTTACGATTTGGTATAAATCCATTTTGAAAAGGGCCCAAGTTATCAAGTTGTAGAACAACTACAAGTAGAAAAACTGGAACCAACTGGAGAAAATAAGCAGGCCTTGCTGTACATGTTACCAATATGGCTACACTAGCTCTACACCCATATGTTAACTCAAAATCCATATGTTAGACTCCATTGCCATTTTGAGTTTCCGTTTCAGTTCCAAAATCTATGAGCAATTGATGTGAAGTGATAATAGCTACATAATATTTGGACAGTCAGATATTTCTTCCTAAGAGACATTGAAAGAGGATTCGACCCAGACACCAGCTGATCATCAAAAACAATACAACTGACATCACCTCATAAGCAATGAGTGCTAGTCAGGACTAGTACACAAAGGTTGACAAAATGGGAAGTTTAGGCCAAAACAGATACTTTTTTTAAAAAAAGCTTGATTTTTTGGGAAGACAGGTGGGTGGATATTCTGGAAGGATGAGATCAAATGGGCCGATGGGTCTGCTTTATCTGTGCACAATTGGCTGCCGTGTTTTGTCCACAAAGTACACAGTCACTACACTTTACAGTATATTCTGTGAAACATTTTGAGACTTCTCAATGACTTGATAAGGTGCTATATCAAATGCAAGGATTATTATTATCTAAACCAATCTTGTGATAAATTTAGTTGTGGTGGTAAAATANTTTTTTTTGAAAATTTGGTCACTTAATCCACGACTGGAACGCGGATGTGCGAAATTGGCTGCTGTGTTTCGCCCACAAAATATGCAGTCAATTCACTTTACAGTATATTCTGTGAAGCTCTTTGATGCATCTCAATAATATTATCATTATTATAATAATATTAATTAGCTCTGGATTAGGGAAAACTAAAAAAATTGGCCAGGATTCTCAATTACAATCCAGTGACCCCTGCTGGAACGTATGTGTGTGTGTACGTTAGGCAAAGTTATATGGGGTTGGCTGTGATGTTTCCCACAACCAGTCCTGCCAATACTACCTGTCTGGGCTTACATGAAGAATGATTCCCCATATCAATTTAAAGTTTAACAATGTCACTCTGTTCTCATTACAGAAGTACACCAAATTAGAAGCATGATTAAACTCCGGGAGACTTAGATTTTGTTTACACTAGTGCATATACATACAGAACAATGACAATGTTGATTCTTATACGGTTTCATAATTTTACGTAAAGCTGCTCTTAATACTTGAACTATGCAATATACCTTTGAAAGCGTATAATTTACAGTATTACTGTGCACCATTTCTTACAAAAAACATTTAAAGTGGAAGTTTTAAATGGTTGCTTTGTGCAGGTCAGGAATGTGAATAGTAAATGAAAGGTTGTTAAATTATTAATGAAAGGTCTACACTACAAAGCTTTGAAGCCCAAACACAATTTAAATTTCTCACCTAATAAGGAACTATTTAATTCAAATACAGCAATGGGAGCAATAACAGGATCTAAGACAAAATACTGTTTTAGCTCATGGAATTAGTACAGTAAAACTTTTATTGGGAGCTATGATTTTAAATAAAAGTATTACTGCACAATAATTTAAAAAACACATATGTTGACTTGAATAACTTCTAAATTAAAAGTTTGAGATAACTTAAATTAATCACACAAAACACAGGAATACACTACACAAACATTATTTTAATGACTATTTAACTGCCACGGAGGGAAAAACAATGTTGGACTGTGTTAACAAATGTTATACTAGAAACACTGAAAGAAATTGTTTACAAGCAAAACAAGACAGATTTCAATCTTACACCGAAAAATAAACTTACCTCACCAATCCAGAAGGATACTTTATCAATCTTGTAAACAGAAACAAAGGTGTCCACGTAATACAGGAGGAAGACATTATGTAAAATGGAGACAAAGAGAGATAAGAAGCCATACAGAACAGCTGTTGGAACATTCATCCAGCTCAAAGGTCGGAGTCTCATGGTTTCACCAGTCCATTGCACTGCAGTTCCAACTTCAAAGTCATTTCAGTCTCTGGCAGAGCCCCAAGTTCGTAACTGTTCACTCCGAAGCTGCCAATCCATGGTAGCTGCAAGTACCAATTCAAAGATCTTTAGAGACATTTAACAGAACCCAAAATACCCAAAAATGTGCAGAACAATGAACTTCCTCTTGTGATCAACTGATTTCCTTTTTGTGAAGCTTCCTGTACCGTGGGTGACCAGGCAAAAGTTGGCCTCAGCAATGACTACACAACAACAACTTGCATTTATATAACGCCCTTCACGCGGAGTAGTGTCCCTGAGCGCTACACAAACTGAAGCAAGCGTCGGACACAATCGAATCGCTTAGATGTTCTGTACAATTTAATAAAGCTAGAGATTCCAAGATGTGAGTTTTGAAAGTTTAGGCATGCATTGCGCAAGCAGCACAGTACTTGTCCAGCTAGGATTGCTGTAAACACACTCCAAGTCTGTCTTGAAATTATTATAGACCTGTTGGGCTTTGCCAGATGCATTTTCTCAGAGTCACATCAACTCAAGGGAGTCCGTGCTTACTTCCCCCTCAAGGATCTTAATTTTAAAAACAATCTTGAAACGACAAAGTGGACCCAGTAGAATTCGAAGCTGTGGGTAAGCACTGAGCATATCAGCCCTTCAAGTTACTTAATGAGGGGAGAAAGTTACTCAATGGGAGGGGTGGGGGGCAAAAACAGCTGATATTTGTCGAAAGGCTATAAAAGGCGCACAAAACACAAAATTCACTGCTGGATAATCTAGTTTGAAACAGAATAAGCAAAGTATCCAGTCTTCAGAGGTGTTTTGCTTACAGCTGCTAAGATTTCTTACTGTACATCATTTTTCAAAGCAGCTATTTCCACCTTCCACCAAACTCGTACCAGTACCTGAAGCACATTAGACTTTAGATAATCACAGTAAAGGAATTCATATTATTTGCAATATCAACAGTCCATTATCCCTGAACTAGTTGGATAATTTCACAGCTCATTCAAAACTCCCATATGAGTGACTCATATTTGAAGTTTAAAAAAAGAGTGACTCATATTTGTACAGCCCAAAATTTAGTCAAATTATTCTGTATATGTGTTTTTAAAACTTAAAAGGGCTTTCAAATCTATTCTAGTCATATATACAGTGTTTACTAAGTGGGAAACTTACCAGACAATGGCAATGGCAATCTTACCAGTGGCAATCTATGCAGTTTTAGCTGGTTACACCCCAGTTGTAGCCCAATGCATACTCTAGAGTTCCAGTTAGCCCCTGTCAACCTGTGTTTAATACTCTCTGGTTTAGGTAAGCAGGGTGTATCCCTCCACGGAAAGAGAGTGCCTGTCCATTCCAGATGGTGGGAAATTTCCATGTGTAGGTGGCTTTTATATGTGGAAATCTCAGTCTAGTTTGGATACTCTTAAGCATGGTGCTGTGCTTCTGGATGCATCAAAACATATGGCAGACCACAAAAGGGATACTAAATAGCTTTGATTCCAGCAAAGCTCCAATTCATGGGACGAACATTTTGCAATAGCTAAGTACGTACTCACCCACACTTAATGCCTAGCTTGCAGTAGGCCTGATAAAGAACCAATCTCTTGGGTTGAATGCATCTTGATTGAAGTACTTTATAGAGTTTGGCAAGTACAATTAGAGTTTGGCAAATAAAATACAGTTCATTGCACAAGTGGAAAGCATAACTTAAGGGGTGCTAATTATAATCTCTTTGATCAGTGAACTAAATTCAAATTACTGCCAGAACTACCCTGACGATTGAATGATAAAAGGCAACACGATTTGTAAGATTACTGGATTTTTTTGTTCTCAGCTAGGCAATGATAGGAGTGCTCCAGTTAGGCTCAGCACCATCAGATGGGAGGGGGTTTCTCACAGCTAATTAATATGCATTTATGGAAGTTTGTGTGTTATTGCGTGGCCATCACTTAGCCAAAATTTACCTCATCACATCATCCAATTGTTACAATATGCTTCACAGGATTTTACGGGAAAGTAGTGACTGAGCATTGGTCAGAGAATAGGGCACCAATTTGTACACCGCAATCTCCCACAAGCAGACACAAAGTAAATACAGCTCCTGGGGAAAAGTATCTGCTGCAACCTCCTTCACACAGCAACCATATTTACTGATGAAGAGTAGCTGTTGGAAAGATGCTGGAAGTATCTGGCAGCTTACACTTTTTCCATCTCGTCATCGCTGTGGTTTATTTGTAAATCGAAAATATTTAGTCTACTTAAGTCTACAGGAAGAGCAACCAAAACTATTTAAAGAACGGCAACACCTCAATCCTGGAAAAGAAACATGCCTACAGTGCAATTGACAGCAAGGTTGTCTTAACAAGCCAAAGTTAAATTTGTATTAATTTATAAGCTCAATATCACTGTAAAAAGCAGACAAATTAGGTAAAGAGTAAGTAATTACATTTAAAAAAACTGCACAATGCATAATTGCTCATTTATTGAACTACTTAATTACGGCATTACATTATAGTCATACTCTACATAAAACTCGCAATGCACCCTTTTTCCAATTATCCACTACATTAACAAAGTTATAAATTTAAAAATCCATTGCTGTACTGTGTGTTCAGTCCAATGCTGGAACCGCCTCAATACATCCATGTACCAATGATTGACATTTGTTGACACTTTCACGAAATCAAAATCCAATAATGTAGTATTTTCAATGTAATTCAGAAACAGGCTCATTACCGCAGCAAATAAATAGCACAAGATCAGTGTTACACTTTAAAATTTTAACTTTTTTTGATCTTATACAGTAAACCGTCGTATAAGTCGTATCAGTTACGACCATAATTTAATATGACTTATGCAAAGTATGAGTTATGTCAAACTTGCATTGAAATTAACTCTTAACTGCAACTTGGACAGATGTACGATTTGGGCGATTATACTGATCATATTTATGCAAGTTTTACTGTATGACTCCACTGGCTTCCCATCACACAGAGGATACAGTTCAAGATCCTGGTCCACACCTTCAAAGCCCTCCATGGTTTTGCTCCCCCCTACCTCAGCAACCTCCTAAACCACTAACATCTTGCTCACTCCCTCTGCTCAGCGGACTCTGGCCTGCTTCACATCACCGGCCTCGCTCACCCCACTAGTGGCGGGCCTCCCACCCTCTGGAACTCCACCCTGCAGTCCCTCCGCCTCCCCCCTCCTCGCCTCCTTCAAGACCCATCTCAAGACCCACCTCTTCGACTGTGCTTTTGATCTCCCTGGCTGTCCCCTGCCCTCCCCGACTCCAACCCCGTAACTCAGGTCCAGCACCTTGGGACATCCTCCCGACGTGAAAGGCGCTATACAAATGTAATTTTGTTGTTGTTGTTGTTGTTGTATGACAAAGGGCTGCTAACTATATATTTCAAAATATTGTAGACTGCATTACAACATGCACTTATATAGCACCCTTCACACAGGTAGCGCCTTAGAGCACTTAACAGAGTCGGAGTCTGACTCCGAGCAACACAAGGATTAAGGAGAACTTCTACTTGTCAGCCTGGCTCAGTTGGCAGCACTCTTGTCTCTGGGGCATAATATTACAGGTTCAAGCCCCACATACAGGATGTTGATCTTGCAATCTAATCTGACACTAGTTGTGTTATTTCCTTTGATCCGACACCAAAATGGATCCCAAATCCACGTCTTGTCTACTTACGTGGCACAATACCACGTGATGCACAGATGAAAACCAGATGTTTCAATGACATCTGAATAAGCAAACTCATACAAACAGTGGACAGAATACACAAATGCTTGAGGAATTGTTACGCTTCATGGGTTACGAAGAGTAATGCACACGATAAAGACCTTGAGATAAGATTGCAATATCATCACCTTCATCTCTTGATTATCCAAGATTATTGGAACAAACTCAAATTCAGCATTTGGCAGCTTCCTCTCTCAATCCCCAGCAAACCCCCCCCCCAACCGCTTAAACACAAACACAGTTTACCAACCTGGAATCATTGCAACGTAATATTTAAATTCAGCGATCTGCTGGAACAGCAATGCTCTGATAGAATACTTCAAGTCGTAAAATAGGACTATATTTTGTAGTTCACAATAATCAAAATTTACATTCATATAACTGAGCTGATACTATGCAATTTGGTATCATGGACAGCAACAAACTTTTGAGGGCCTGAAATGCACAAATGCTCTAAAATGCACGAGACCCAAGTGCTTCAATACTGTAATAGATTTGTATGTATATTTAATATATTTTGAAAAAAGTTAAAAACAGATGAGAGATTACAAAGCAGCTTTGAACCTTGCTATTTTGCCAACATTGAAAACAACAACAACAACTTGCATTTATATAGTGGCCTTCACTCAGGGTTGCATCCCTAAACCACCCAAGCTTCAATTCTGTTGCTCATACTAGTATCAAGTTTAATTCAATTCAAAAACCCACACTGTCTTGTATTTCACTGGACTTGATAAACTACAGCAATAGATTGAAATGTTACATACAAATAGAGTTTTGGTTGGTTTCCGGTCAACAAAGCAATTACTTTGAAGGGACAGGTCTTGTTTATTGTGTATTGTTTGGAAGATAAAAGTAGAATGTTGTAACACAGGACCCCACAGACAATAAGCTTTGTGCATTTGCCAGATTGGGGATAGTGAATCAAAAACAGATTCACTAATACATACATGTACAAGGATTACTATTATTATATAATTGGCACCATTAGACAGATGATCTTTCCTTCACTTTTGATCTGGGGTCCTTTCAAATTGCATTGCAACTTGTTCTATCATTTTGGCACCATCTAAGTCAAAAGGTTGTGGATTCAAACCCCATGTTGGGATTTGAGCCCATGGTATTGGAGAAACCTCAAAAGTGATATCTGCCTGTTCTTCAGGTGGATGTTACTGGGAGTTTCTCCTCATGTTCTGACCAACAATTGTCGAGATTAATTAGCCATCCACCTCCTGGTTTACTATGTACAAAAATGCTGCCACGTTAACCTACAGACAACAGTGCTTACTGACGGACAAGATGCTATAAAATGCAAATTATTTCCTTCATCTCAATGTCAAATTGCACGCTGAAAATAAATTCACTAGTGTTATTTCAATCATTTTCACGGAATACAGAATCAAAGGGATTTCTCATTATATTCCCTTGTTTTTGTCTGCAGATTCTAAAACCATTTGTTAAGTAATAATACCATACTATT